CTTGTTTACAATAAAATATCAACATTAACTTTAATTTAAGGTCCTCTCAAAACTGATTTTCTAACTATGCTCAATATTTTCCTTAAATTTAATAAATATAGGGCTTATAGCTTTTTTATTTTTAAGATGAAAGTATAATTTAAATATGTTAAAACTCATCCTTCTGATCTCTTTTGGTGATGGGACTATTCTGTCTTGACTGCATCAATGTCAGTGTCCTGGCTGTGGTTATAGTACTATAGTTTTACAAAATGTTACCTTGGGGGACACTGGGTAAACAGGATTTCTGTAGATTTTCATGTAACAGTATGTGAATCTGCAATCATCTCAAAATATAAAGCTTAATTTTTTAAACTAATTTTTTTGTGTATAGTTCTGCAGGTTTTGACAAATGCATACAGCCTTGTAACTATCACCAAAATAAAAATATGGAACAGTTCCATAACACCACCCCACAAATTCTTTCTTTATAAGTCAATCCTCCCTTTACCCCAAGCCAACCACCAGTCTACTTTCTGTCCCCATATATATGCCCTTTCCATAATGTAATTATGAACAGAGGCATGCAGTATACAGCCTTTTGAGACTGGCTTCATTTAATTAGCATAGGCCACTTGAGATTCATCCATATTGTTGGCCATATCAATGATTTTTTTTAAATTGCTAATTAGTGTTTCATTTTATGGCGCTACCATGATTTGTTTATCCATTCCTCAATGAGGAGGCATTTGAGTTGTTTCCTGTTTGGGGCAATGATTAATAAAACTACTGTTCATGTATAGGTTTTTTGACCATAAATTTTTATTTCACTTTAGTATATATATAAGGAGTGAGATCAGTTGATCTATTTAACTAACTGAGAAAACTTCAAACTGATTTCCAAAGTGGTTGTAACATTTTGCATACCCACCAGCAATGTCCAGTGGATCTGTATGCTCACTAGCATTTTGTATTGTTGGTATTTTTTATTTTAGCTATTCTAATAGGCATTAAGTAGAATCATCATGGTTTTATTTTGTATTTCTCTAATAACTAATGACACTAAACATGTCTTCATGTATTTATTTCTTTGAAGAATTGT